CCAAGGAACTCCAAAGTTTAATTACAAAAACATCGTACAGAAAACTTGGCATTTAAACAATTCCAAACATGTTAATCCAGCAAATGAATTCTGCTTTCAGATATTTCTCTTAACATTTCTGCAAGTGACAAAAGCATTTTATTCCACTCTTCTCCTTGACACCCACTTCATTTTTTTTTTTTTTAATCAGTCAACACTGAAAACTGTAAACTGAAGTGACACTCTGGAAACACTGGAAAGACAAAATCCATTTTTATAGGGTTAATAAACATAAATAAGAAGCTTCTTAATGAAACAAAACATCATCTGTCACATCATCAGTGAGCAAGAGCTCAGTCTTTCCCCAGATGCTTCAAGATGGATAATCTACCCCGCCTCCTTCCTTGTGGGAAAAGGCAAGAGATTTGTCAGCCCCCAGCTAATAATATCACCTTTAATTTCCTATCCCACAACACTTGCATTCTTCTCAGCAGAGATGGATGAGCAGTATCCACGAGCAGATTTCTGTAAGCAGGCAGCCTGAAGCCATCTGACCCTACTGATGGATTGGATATGTTACAGCATCCTACATGGATGGAACTGCACCCTACATTACATGGAATTTCTGGAGTCTTTATGGGATACAACTCCAGGTATTAGGTAGGATGCCACAGACAGAACTTCAGGAGTTGGTAAATCAGTTTTGGCTATGCAGTGCATTTTGGCCACTTCAACAGAGAGTCAAACATCACCAGTTCTAAAAAAACTACATAGATACATACATGAGATGAAGGTGTAGGTGCTTCTACTGGAGGCATTAACAACCTCTAGGATTTACAACATTCATTACAGAACCCACTAAAAAAGTTAATGGCAGCATCAGCTGGTCTCATCCATGCTAAGGAGAGTGGAAGTCAATGCAGCTAACTGAGGTTCATTTCTGTGAAATCTTGAAAGCAAAACAGATAACAAGACAAAGGAGTTTCCTCCCTGAAGGAAGACTTGATTTACATGGAAATCCTTGCTTCTTGGCTACAGCAGTAACCCCAGGAGTAAGCTGAGACCTGGCATACAAAGTGCTGACCTGAAGATGGCTCCAGGCCAGCATGACGTCCATGTGTACAGCGCAGGAAAAGAAGAAACTGGTTTTTAATCTTCAAAATATTTGTGTCACAAGTACATTAAAGTGATGCTGAAAGCAACCTCCACATAACGGGGAATCTTAACAGATGTCTTGAGCGGGAGCAAAGAGATTGTCATGTGGGAGCAAGAGTATTTCAACCACCCCCATAAAGCCCAGAGATGTCCAACAAGTGCTGAGCCAAAGTCAGAATCAACAATTTGACAGGAACCAAAGAGCAGGCAAAGTCTTGCATAAGCCAGTGCAGACAGTGGGTGCCTCAGCTCTGCCAGGTGTGGTGTTGCTCAGCAAGATCAGACTCAAACATGCAGAGCTCTATTCAATGTAAGTGAAAGGCCATTTAGGTCAGCTGGAACACAAAATGCTGAATGCTATGGGCTCCATGGGCGGTCCTTGGACTGTACAAAAGGCGAGAGCAGAAACAAGCTGTGATGCTGAGTTCTGTGGGCTATGTGGACCTAGTTGGTAATAACCTTCTCTGCTCTAATAATATATGCAAAAATATCCGTGCTGCTTCCAGACACTTGATTCCCAGCACAGCCATTTCAGGAGGGCAGGGAGGGAAAAAATGCAATCCCCGTGCCCATTTCACTTTTTATAGAAAACTGCTTTCCCCATGAGATCATTCTCTCAAAAACAAGGCAATAACATTAAATTAGACTGAACAACGTATCAGAGGAAGGGCAAGCTTTGTGGGTTTAGTCTAAACTGAAGAATCCCATTTTCCCTGCTGAGAAGAACTAATGTTTCACTTTCTATCTTGATTCCCACTGATCTTTGTGATAGTAAAATGCTCCAGCAAACGTTTTCAAGAGGTAACAGGAGACCTTCACAGAAGAGCAGGATGCAATGTGCAAGAGAGGTGCTTGAAGAGAGGGGAGAGAGGAAGTCTATCTCACAGTAAAATCAAGTCACAAAGCATCAAGCACAGCCAGTCTCTAGCAGGGGCAAACTCACATTGTAGGAATTGCAGGCTAATACAAAAAAAACCCCAGGATTCTGCTTAAGAAAAGCTCCTATAAACATAGCAGGAGACATAGGACAAGACAGTGCACCAAGGAAAACTCCCTGTTAGAGCAGAGAACACAAGCACTGCTATCCAGTACTGCAAGAATCAGGGAACAAGATCAAAAGAAGAGAACTGAAGTGAAGGAGGGTAACCCCATAGGATAAACATGAAAACAAAATAAAAGACACTAGAAGACATTAGGCAATATAACACATCAAAGTTATTACTACAACATATACGCTGACTCCGTTTCACAAGCTGAGATTTCATCTCCACAGCCAGCCAGTCCACAGGACGCAGGCACCCTCACACCCAGCAAAACCCATAAAAAAATGTAGATTGCACAAAAGTTGCATGCTCTTAAATGTTCACACAGAGGACAGTTCCAAGGGTTTAGTGGGCGGTGTCCGTGGCTTCTTAAGATCTCTTAATGCATTGATCTGTTTGTCTCCCTGACAAAACACACAGGCAGGGCCCAGGACAAACCTGCCATCCTGCCTCCCACCCTAGGCTTTCCCCCATGGCTTCTTATTCCACACTGGCCAAAAAAATTTTGTAAAGCTTCCCCGGGTCACGAGACCTGCAGACGAAACAGAAAAATAAAGGTTAGAAGGCTACAATCTGCCAGGACTAAACAGGCACTGCGACATGGGTTTCTGGGTGTTTGATCTGAAAAGAGGCTGATAGTAAAGCAGCCTCTGGAGACACAACCAAACTGAGTTGCTGTTGCCATCCAGTGCTAAATAACAAAACCTTTCCTCTTCTTCCCATATGCTGTTTGCACAAAGAAGTTTTTACCATGCAGTACAGAAAAACCAAAATATTCACCAGTATAATCAAATAGTCCCTAAACACAATGTACTAAGCCACCAAAACCCACCTCAGATCTGTGAAAGAGTTGTTTTCAGGAGCATTATGGCACAATTTTCTGTGGTATTGATTTGTGATGTGTCCCAGCCTCAAACAGACCACATGGTTGACAGATTACATTTATCATTCATATGCACATTAATAAGGGGACACTGATGATGACAGTTTGTTGATACAGTTTATAATGTGCTAGATGAACCTTTTATCCAAAGCTTCCTTGTTTTCCAAGGAATCTCTACCATTTTCTAGGTTTGCATGCAACAAAACCCAACCTTCCTCCTTCCAAAATTTTGCCTCAAAATATAATCACTGCCAAGTGAAAGTCAGTGTAATTAACAGTCCCATTAATTACTTGATCATTATCTTCAGTTACATACATGTCATTATCCAGTAAACCTATGTGATTATTAATCACATTTTTAATCACCTCACACTGTTTTGCTGCTGAAAAGAAGGAAGGCATTGGTAGGAAAAGAAAAGAAAGAAGTACTATTTTTCAAACAGAGGTTGGAAGGAAGAATTTAAAGCAAGAATTACTTTTTCTAGATCAATTACAGCCAAATCTAGCCTATCCAAGAAAATTGTATTCATATGTTTAGGAACACAGGAACTGTCTATCCTTTAGGAAAGATGAAGCCACCTGGCAGGAGAATGAAAGCCTAGATTTTAGTAGCTTTGCGACAGGATTTTTCTAGCAAGGTGCTTAAGGGACAAATATCCATTTCTGGGCCTGGCATATCCTTCTAATAACTGATGAATGAGAAACTGCTTTCCTTCTTAGCCATTCTGTAAAACCTCCCCTCTCAATTCTGTTTCTGAGCCTGAGAACTAATTGAAAATAGTATACAAAAAGGAGGAGGTTGATGAGCTGCTGAAAAATCCCAGACCTGCATCGACAAGCTGTTCCCTTCACAAATAGCAGCAGTAAAGGCACTTCTTTATTCTGCTGGGAGCTCAGTCATCTCTTAGAACTACAGTCCGTTCCATCTGGCTACCCTCCTGAAGGACAATGATCTCCCAGCTAAAGCCACACTATAATGGGAAATGTGTAATTAACTGTTCTACACAGCACCACAAAAGGTCAGGACCAGAAAGGATGAAAAGCCCTGTCTTCATATTTGCAGATGGCACAAGGCAGCTTTATTTGCATTTCTAAACACTATTCAAGACATGTACAGTAGATCTCTACATAATAAATGCCTGAAGAATGAAGGTATGTACTTTGTTAAAATAGAAACAGACAAACTCCTCATGGCTGCCTAGTGCTGTGCATCATGGGGAAGTGGGGGAGTGAGAGGTGTGGGAAATGCAAAACAGCACAGTAATGCAGAAAGACTGGTATTTACTTCTTTGTTAATTTGTTTTTCTACTCTGTTCTCTATTACAGTTTTCTAAGCTGTTAAACAGCAGCAAAAATACAGAACCATGAGCTCAATAATAATCTATGCATAAAACACAAACATTAGTGTCAGCAAATGCTATGTACAGCTTAAACCATAGAACCATACCTCAGTGTTCCTTTTGCATCTAAGCCTTCCTAATTACAACAGCTTGACTACTGAGGTGCCACTGAGCCGAGGTAGGGTATTTTCAGTTTATAACAGAATTGAGTTCACCTGTAACCTCTTGAGACAAATAGAATTTCCCCGTGGCCATCAGTTTCTACAATTACTGCTAAAATCTTCAGATTTACTTCACACAAGAAAGGAACCTTCTTCTAAATTAGTCGCCCTGTTACCATTATGTCAGAACTCGTACTCACCTTATAAAAATATATAAAGTTCTTGGAGCTAAATGCATTTGTTTTGAATTTCAGAACCCTTTAAAGACATGGAATCCTTTGAACCCAATTTGACTTTCATTAAGACAACCTGCTCCTGCAGCTTTGAGGAAGAAACCTTTTTGATTGTACAATATGGCGATCAGCACAGGCATCAGCAGCAGGACAGGTGCCAAAGGCAGGGAGCAGACACCACGAGCAGCCTGGAAGGGAACACCTACCCCGTCACTAACGCTCCAGCCTGTTCACCACGTCCCGCACCGTGGCAATGAGGTTCTCATTCTCCTGTGGGTTGGCCAGGATAATGCTGTGCAGTCTGTTCATGTAGGAATCAATCGTTTCCATCGTGGGGGTTTCCCCGCTGCCTACAGTGAACACAGTGAAATTATCCACAAGGTATTTTGATGACCACAGCAATTCAAAAAAGTTATCACTATGCTAAGGGTAATTTGTGCCAACACAGAAACTGCTATAGGAGGTGATTTTGCTATGCACCACCTCTTGTGACAGATTCTGCTAAACAATGTGCTCCTAACTCCACAAAGTGAGTAGCTCTAAAGATATCAGGACTAATGAAGCACGGATCTATTTGATTTGGGTCTCATAGTTGATTATAACAAACTCTTTCAGCTGGGCATCCATAGACTCTAAGTGGGCTCCCTGGCAGCTGACAATATAGACACAGCCTTTATTTTAATCAAGGAACTTGCAAGTCCTTGTCTATTCTATTCAGTAACATTTTCACAAAACAAGTGAAGGAGAGCCAGGACTGAATATGTGTCTCACTTTATTAGGAAGAGTAAGAGTAATAACAAAATAAATGTCATGTTGAAATAAAGCACTGGCTATATACTTCTCCCTGCGTGCATTTTAGTACTTCATTATCCCGTGCAACAAAAGCTCAGAAACAGCCAAGAGCACAGAAGTGCGACAGCAGGCCACGTGTTCTCAGCCCAGAGCACGACACAAACACGAGCAGCTCCATGTCCCAGGCTCACCCGGCAGCGGGACTCCCGCGAAGCTGCTGGTGAGCGCCTGCCGCAGGGTCTCCAGGTGCTGCTGCAGCACGGTGTTGCGGCTCCGCTCCTGGATCACGTCCACCTCCAGCTTCTCCACGGCCGTGCGCATGCTCTCCACGTGCTTCTGCAGGGCCGCGTTCCTCTCCTCAAACTCCATGTTAGATTTGCGCAGCTGCCGCAGCTCCGCCTCACGGGCTGCGAACATCAACCCATTCCCAGGGAGTCAAAAGCTGCTACAAACATCTCTAGGACCGGCAGGCAATGAGACAGAAAGTTCTGGAGTGCTCAGCTGATAATTACAAATGGTGCCATTGTGGTTTATAGATAAAGAGCATCACATCACGGGGTGACAACAGCACCTACAGCGGCACTTTACAGAGACCATTCTAGAGAGAAAGACAACTCGGAAAACATTCAAAGCATCAGAATTGAAGTGAATGGGGGAATTGATCAGGAAAGAAGACTGCAAAACTGATTTCAAATGCAATCAGAATGACAAAGTTTAGCAGCAGTGCTAAGAATTCTGCAAACGTGATGCCAGTTACAAAAATAATCTAATGACCATGGAAAGTATCTGAATCTAAATTCTGTTCAGTCAAGAAAGTCTTCAAGAAATCTGGCAAAAAATACTCAACTCTTGAGACACACAGAAATGAAAACCAGAGTAACAGAAAATCAGTGTAGCCTTCCACATATGGGGGGAAATAAAATACTGCTAACCAGCCTAGAATCGCCATCAGGATACCGCTCAGATATTTCTTAGTTCTATAGAACAGTAGACACAGCTTGAACTGGCTGGAATAAACATCAGAAACATTCTGAAAAATGTCTAATTTGGGAAGACAATGCCAGGAAAAGCTGCTTTTCAGTCATTGTGTATATACAGAAACTATACCCAAGTCTTTACATGTGCTGGGATAGGAGAGTGCAAGGACTCTTCAGCAGGACAGCATTTGCCAAGAATTTTGGAAAAGCAAGGAGGAAAGTGTTATGGAAAAGTTAAAATTACCTTTACTATGATTCAGGAACTCTTCTGTGAAGATTGGGATATCAAAGACAGATCTTTCCTTTGTATCTGCTTCTTTCTACAACAGAAAAGAGTAATAACAAAGCTAAACAGTTTGTTTTCAGGAATTCATTTAACTGTTTTGATCATTTTGAGAATAAAAGGCCAAGGAAACCAAAACCTGAGGCAGCTAAAAGCTGAATGGATTAAAGACACTTCCAGCTCCTACCAAAAAAGGCCAAAGGATATGTCTTAGATTTGCAAGATATAGGTTTAATCAAACATCATCATTAAGAAATAACACACAACATACTAAAATACACTCTTTCATCCTAATGGCATTATATATGAGAATAATTCAGTTTTAAAAACTATCAGAATGCATTTATATTTTCCACCATCAACCAACTGACATTCTGCAATAGTCTTTACAGGAATATCAACAAACAGGAGACAGAGTGAGCAAAATGCACAATAAGTAATTACAATAAATAATGGCTCTTGGCCTCCAAAGTGATAAAACAAAAAACACATTTAAATCAGGAAATGCTCTACAATTTAGTCAAAAAACTGTACAAAATGTGATTTGACTCAAGGCAAAACCCCCATACTATAACACACATCAGTCATCACTTCTAAATCAAGAGGAATTAATGCTTGTTTTAGTATCTGAATCATTATGGACAAAGCCAACACAAATTTGATTTGATAAACTGCAGCAACTACGATCAACCTGTAACTTAACACAGACATAAATTTAAGCAGGAAAGTGCCCATGGAGAACAAAAGATTTCAGAACTCTCAAACACCATGGCTGATAATGCGCCACAAACTCATCATCCAGAATTGCAGTGTTACACATGACTGGTGTCCTCCAGCAGACAACCTCAGTGTCTGACAGCTGATAAGGGAATTCTGGCCCCTGAATTCAGAGTGCCACAGTGTGTCTGCCACACAGAGGGGTACATGGGCTCCCCTGAATGCCATCTGACAGCCAACCAAGACAGACAAGACTAGATTGAACTACCCTGTTTTTCCCTCAGGAGACAGACTGTCCATTGATTGCTTTTAAAGATAAGCTAGCTTTTATTGTGTGGCACAATTACAGCTGAGGAGCTTTGTATTTACTGAGTGAGAATTCAAATTTCACTTGGCCTGAATCAGCTGGAGACACATGAGAAACAGGGAAGACTGGAGGGAAGGGCAACTCTTCCAGCTCTGTGAGGCACAGTAGGGTTTATTTGGGGTTCATGATCACAAGTGCTTTTCACTGAATATTTTGTAAGTGCTGCTACAGGGCAAATGTCTCAAGAGTATACTTAGAAAGAGAAGTCACACACAGAAGTGTGAATAATGCATTTGTTTTGTCTGAACACTAGACAAAATGGCTAGATGGCTAAGAAGTAATTTCACCCCAAAATCTAGGATCTCAACATTAATGTGCACTAAGAAATGTTGGCAGTTATGAAGCTTGGTTAGAACACTTATAAAAAACATCCATCTTAAACATTCTAATTCATGCTCACTGTTATTATCTGTGTGCAAAGAGCCACTGGCTTGGACCATCACTGGCTCCTACAGAATAGATGGTGGAGGAGACAGTACTGCCAATAGAAGAAGATATTCTCTTTGCAGCCCTAGGACCCAGGATCTTCAGGTAAAAACTAAAAATGTAACTGTCCAGCTTCCAAAAGGCAAGAAATTCTACTAAGCAGAAGAGTGATCATTAAAAACATCAGTACTCTCCTATTACAAAATACATTACCCAGCACATAAAAAATCCTCTTGAGAACCCTGAAGTACTTAAGCCACTCTGAGGTTCACTGAAGATTAAAATCCTAAGGCTTTGATTCCCTCCTATTGGAAAGGACCCAGTCTGTTGAGTTCACGTATCATTTAGGCATCCCTCAAACCAAAAGAGAATCTAAATTCTATCATTTACCTTAAATAAGACTGAGATGCTTCAAGAGTCAACAGTCTCATCTGGTTATTAAAACTGAGGTTGAACTTTGAAGATTCTGCAATGAATATGGCTTGAGGTTCTTAGTGATGCAGTGAAGTATGGTAATGAGACAGCTGAGATTTTGGGGGGGTTTAAGCTCACCTTTGCTGCCATGGTCAGGCTGCAAACAGTGGAAGGAACAGATATAATAAATGTACTACTCCATTAAATGTTCTCAGAGTAGGTACCACAAGATAGGTACCACCCTGGTCTCCTCAACCTGTGTGCACAAACCTTTGAAAGCTTTCCAGTAACAAACGTAACTGAGTTCATGATGCCAGATCCACTTGGAATCAAGCAGCTTGAGCAAATAAACAATAACAGAACAATGGAGAAAATTATCCAAGGGTTTAGTCACTGCTGATGACAATAGCTCCAGTGTATATTGCTGTACGTGATATTTATGAAATTAGAATTTGAAGGAAGAAAAATGTTCTATTTCATGCCCATAGATGAGCTCCGGGGACAGTGTGAGCATGTTTTTCAAGGCAGTATCTATTATAAGTTCTCTCTCATCCTTCAGTTATATTTTATTATAATCAGTATTTGAATTTCCCATCATGAAACTCTTTAGAGGTCAACCCTATGCACAATGTTGAAAATACCTTCAACATCAACTCACAGAAACTACATCATAAACACTTAAGAGGCAGAAGGGAAAGAAAAAAGCTTTCTTTGACCTTATTTTCTTATATTCTCAAGAAATCATTTCATCAGCTTGTACCTGCTAATCACAAACACAGCAACAGAAGTCAGTGTGGACAGGCGAAAGCAGCAAGATAACAAAGAGCTTTAGCTTCACTTCCAATAACAACTTGAGCAGACACTTCTAAAAGCCATCTAATTTTTTTCTGCTTATTTCTCACCTATACAGGATTATAATACTTCACTTCCCTGCACAAAAGATGCAAAAACACATCAGGTGATAAGCATGTGGGATTTTATAAATATAAAGGTGAAAAACACCAAGTAGTCAAAGGCACAGTTCAGAGTAAGATGTCTGACTGACACGTTCATGTTCAGCTGTATCTGATGATGCTTAAACATCCTACAGGGTGAGGAGAACTTGTTTTTAACTGCATTTATAACATGAAAGATCAGCAATGATAGCTTGAATTAGAAGGGTAAAAGGGAAGACTCCAAATCTGTAGTTTGCCACGTGTATAACTTAAATGTTATGTAACAGTCACAGTCAACCTAGAACTTGAAGCCTTTAGTTTTTGTACAATTAAATACAAACTTGGATTCAGTGACTGTAGAATCAGAAAACTTGGGGACCACGTACTTCCAAATAATAGGTAATCTCACTGCAAGCACTTCCTTTAGGAGTTAATAAAAGGCATATAAAAAACATTCTACCAAATCATTTTCCTGAAAGTGAAACATACTTTCCTTCAAGACCAGTAGCTGCCTCTCAGCAGTGCTCAGCCTTGTCACTATTGTAATGAACACATTAGAAGCAAACCGGATTGCTTTCCCAAGGCAAAAAGCCTCACAAAGTAAAACAGATCTTTCAGAAAGCCCTACTGCTTACAAGTGAAGAGGCTGTGTAAAATCAAGATTTTTTTCATTGCTCTTTGTTTGCAATTTATTGGTAACCATTACAGAAGCATTGTGGCCCTAGGTAATACAACTGGAGAAAGCTGCAGTGTTTCAAGGAGAGAGAAACCACCGTCAGCCAGGACACACAAGATTTGTGGTAAGATGCCTGTGCTGTAGTTGATGAGCTCTACCTCCAGACATTATCACTCTTTTCCAATATTTACATATGCAGAGGGCAAGGGAGGTTAGGAGGAGGTTTAAGCCAGAGTTTTTCCAATTTGGTTGCTTTACCCATTTCTTCTCAAGGAAGCCACAAGCATTTGTGTTACTGCAAGAAAATAGTACTTGAAAACAGCCACTCAAAGGTGCTAATTTGGCAGGTTTATTGAGGTCTCACACTATTTTTTAATTCTTAACATTGCATTACAAAACAGACCTATGTATTGTGTATCCTATGCTCTATTCCACCTACCATTTGTACCTACCCAAGACTTATCAAATTTAGTTTTGTCATACCAACGAATGTAAGAATACTCAGTCGCTTCTAACTTTTCAAAACCTGCATTAGGAAGAGGAAGAATTCACACTCAAGTTCTGATAAACTTGGTTTTGACTCCACTAGAAGTTTTTTTTTCACCTGAAAGTCTCCCCACTGATGTAAATGTAGAATTACGAGGTTTACCTCATGATCATGAGCTGGCTGTCTTGCTCCATCTGAAAAAGAAAACAAGCAAGAAGTCTCTCAAAATAAACAAAATTTAAGAAAATAAGAAGCAAAGAATTAAGGCAGTTACACAACCCTAATTACACAACAATTCTAGACAGACTTGTGCAGCTCTCCTACAAAGTCACAGAGAAGCTGTGTCTAACTTTGATGCTCTTAAAGCATATCCTCCAACACAATCTAGACACAGTTAAATTCACGTAAGTCTAATTCCCTTTACACACAGCTGAGGTAAATACCACAGAAAGAACACATTCTGACAGAAAGAACATTCTGTGTTCTTTCTGTGGTACACATTTTTAACCAGCCTTTAAATCCAAGGCTTTAAAAGAGTGTCAGGCTACATGACTGGCTGGGAATCTTCTATTGTTCTAGCTAGGCACACACTTTTGTCCCTTTCAATACCTTGTCTGTGCGATTTGCCTTTTTGTCTGTCCTGTGCTTTCCTGCTAAAGACTTTGTAGGCTTCAGTCTTCTGATACTGCTCCAGCTCCCGCATGTAACGCTCCTTATCTCTGTCTGCTTCATCAAGGTATCGCTGAAACAAAAAAGTCCAGATGGTTTCAGGGAGTTTCCTCCTCTTCAGGAGGAAGAGAAGAAAAACAACTTGTCAAATAAAGTGCTGAAGTACTTCACCTATGCAAACAGGAGAGGAGTGAAGAAACAATGAGGTGCAAAGACATAAGATCGCTGGATAAAATTACTGTATTGTGTTATAATAACTATTCTCTTAATTTTTTTTGCTAAGCCTAGGAGTAACTTGCTACTAAGCTACTCTACTCAACTGAGCATTACTGACATGTTACACATCAGACACTTCAGAATTCCTGTTCTTTGGCCAGGAGGAAGTGCTGCCAAACAATAACAACTTATCAGATGATAGATCAGATGATGCTTTATGGTTCAGACCCATAACAGTGGAGTTGCAAATACACACTTGTTTTCATGCCCCACAGACAAAAATCACCACCACACACTTGGCACATCTGAGAGGTGAACAAAACATCATGGCTATTGCAAAGAGCAGTGTAAAGATAAAAGAGCCTGGTTTTAATTGATGTGATCTATCTGCATTTTGGCTATTAGAAAACTTTTTTAAATTTATATAATCCATCTGCATTTTGGTTAACAGAAGCCTTTTTTTATTAACCTGAGGGTATTTCACACATCTGCATGACAGAATGAGCTTAGGTGGAAAATCCTTTAAGGGAACTGATGAACTGAAAAACATTTAATGAATGGTCACAATGCTTACTAATGGGATCCTTTCAAGAAAAAAAGTTGCCTTCCCAATTTTTTCTCCAAATGAGTTTGAAATTCAATGAATGTAAGAATTAAATCAGTGAACCTTAGTCACCTGGTATTCTCTTTAAGTTATCATGACAATACATATAAATTATGATTTCCATACATTTGCAACACAATTTTGACCCTGCTGATGACAGTGGTAACATTCTGGATTGAGGTGCAAATTTGGTGATGCTTTTGGGTTGGCATTGCTTTTGGACATGTTATTTGTCTGTAAGATATTAATTCTTTTTTTCCACCTCCAGCTATGTGTTGCTGAAAGGGCTCAGCAATCTTCCCTTGAGCTGCTCTGAGCTAGAAACTTACAGCTTTACTCAGGGACAGATTCCCAGGGAATTTAAAAAGCAGCATACAGAACAGAGATTTGAACTCAATTTCCTTTTTCAGGTTAAAAATCTGCCTGAGACATGATAAGAATATGTTCAAGTGCAGGGGACAGAGGGACAGATGTCTTTTCCCCTTCTCTCCCAGTAGACATTTTCATCACTGCAAGACATCCTCTCCACAGATGTAAGTTTCCAGCGTTACATAGGAGCAATCCTGACTATTCTCTAAGCAACATCATTCTCACTATCCCTTCTACCAAATCAACTGCTTTGCCGTGCCACATATTTTCTATTGTGGTTCAATCCCAGTGCTTATGCACCATTTCATATCATTTCTGTAAGTGGTATTCTACAAGCTTAGCAAAAAGCAACAGAAGGAAATCTTGGTGGTTTTGTGTCATCTCATTTTTCATTACACCCTTAAAGTATATTTCAAAGTTCAAATATGAAGATTAAATTCATATGAGAGCATTCATTAGCACTGTGATTTAAAAACTGCTTTGCAGTAATCTCCAACTGGCAACTAGGTGTGGATAGTAAGACATCCATTAGCAATTAACCCAATTAACAAGGTCCACTCCAGAAAGCCCTAAAAAACAGCCCAAACATGGCTTTGAGCTTCATTCACTTGTCAGATAGTGCAGAAGGCCACAAGGATTCCCAGTTAGGAGACATCACATCCCAAGACTTTGGCCTTACAAGTCTCAGATGTATCTGAATTGGTAGAGCAGAGTTACATCCAGATGGATCCCATGAACTGTGGGATGTGTCATTAGAGCAATACCCCCATTCTGGATGTATTCTTGCATTACCTAGAGAATACAGTTCTCCTCAGGTCACCCCAGAGGAGATGCCATGGCCTGGCCAGGACTCATCATGTGAACCTGTGGCCTCATTTTGAAATATCCTCCTAAACACAATTTCAACCAACAGCCTGTGTCACCTTCCTTACTAAACAACATTCCCAGGTAGCAGCAATGCCGTGCAGCAAGGACAAGGAAGTGCAGTGGTACCCGTTTCTCCTCAGGGGGCAGCTTGCTCCACTCATTGCCCAGCATCCTGGTGATCTCTGGGAAAGGCACCTCCGGCCGCTTCGCCCGCAGCTGCTCCCTGCGCTCGTTCATGAACCGCACGTACCCGGTGAGGGGGGATTTGGGGGCATTGCTGTCCCGGAGGGGTTTCTTCCTTTTCCTCCCTTTGGCCCAGCCTCCTCGTTTGGTTCTTTGCTGCTGCAAGACGAAATAGGAAGATAATTCAGGCTGAGTGAAAATAACCTCCTCTGGGAGAATAAATTACCTCATCAGGAGTACATGGCTGCAACCTCTCCATGGATGCAGGTTTCAAACCCTACTTTAGAGCTATCCTGACTTTTGTCTAAACACAGCCAAACAAGTCTCATTGTGAAAAGCAGCTTACAGTTTCTCCTAGTCCATGGGCACAACAAAATAACATTGGCATCAACTTCTGACTGTAAAATCACAGGGACTGATAACCCACAACATGATCATCTCAACTAATGCAACTGCAAATATTTTTTATTACTTGCTTGCTTGGTTTTAGTTATTCTCACGCTCACACACCCTCCCCTGCAAGTCATTTACTTCAATAGGTTTTTTGGAGAGATTTTCTGTACTAGTTAATAATTGATAACTAGTTATTTTGCACCTTCCAGATCTTTGTCCTTCATGCACAATGTGCCCAAAACGTGAGTGTAAAGACAGCAATACAGACTTTTCTACTCTCATCTGTTCAGTAGATTGTCTTTCCCAGTAACCACCTCAATGGAGCAACAAACAAACTCCAAAGGAGGGAATACTATAAGATGTGTCTGGGGCACACTGTGAGTTCACAGGAATAACATCATTATCGCTCATCCTCTTGGCTTTAGACTACTTGTACAGCAAGCTCTGGACAATACTGTTGTCTAGTGCTACGTACATACGACTATTTGCAGTACTTCTAATCTTTCCCCAGACCAACATGTTCCTGCCATCATGTTACTTTTAGTTTTCCTCCTGGAATTTTATTACTTAATTAAAAAAGGACCTCACAGCTGAAAACAAACTACAAGCAAGAATAGCAAATACATCTATAAAAAAACCAAACAAACAAACAAAAAAACCCCAAAAACAACAAAAACCAAAATCAAAAACTCAAACCAGAAAACCCCAAAACTACTTCCTAGTCCTACTTCAGGTCCTTCATAATTTAGTCACCAAAAATCAGTGTTGGATGGTACACAAGGTATAGCCTAAAGCAATAAGAACATAATGGTTTTAATTCCAGAACATTACAAAGGCCTCACGTCGCTGGCTCACAAGACAGAAGATAAGTTGTGGCAGTTGAACATTCAGCCCTAAATGCAGCACTGGCTTGTGGGCCCCTCTGGCTAAGCAGCCAGCTATCTGTGTGCAGCTGTGCAACGCAGGAGAAAATTAGGGAAACAGAAGATGAACATGGCAAACAGATAAAAATTTGTGATCCTATTAAAAATAAAATCTGAGCTGGTCAGACAATATAATGACAAAATTCCATGCCTTTGCTTCATTGAAAAGTTACTATTATTTCATCTCACCTCCTCCTCAGGCTTCTGCTCAGTGGTTTCAGCAGCATTAGAAGTCTCATTTTGCTGCTGCTGAGCCTGTGACAAGTCTTCCACCAAATCTGGGTTATTCACAGGCTGTGAAGTTCCATCACTGAATGAACTCTCCGAATTAGCTAATCTGAAAAAGCACAGAAGTGAGGAAAAAAAATTTAATCATCATTCCTAAATCACTTCCTCCCTAATCTTCTAAAACATGCAAAAATGTTGCAAATATATTCATTCTCACACTAGCAAGAAAAAATTGGATTTAGAAGCAATTTTTGAAGAACTGGCTGTTCCATCCAAGCAACCACTGTAACTACCACAGTTCCTATGGAGTTTCAGAACCAGTTTGATTTTTTAAAGTGGTATTTTGTTTCATTTTTAGTGAAGCATTTGATCACACAAACAACTTGCAGGCAAGTGTATGTTTGCATCAGAAACCAGACAGCGTGAACCTATCCTTCTTCAAAAGTACCACAAGGAATTCGAAATTAAAAGTTTCCTCATCAACCAAGATACACCTTTCTGGACGTGTTTAATCTATTTCTCCACAAATACATGTAGAGATCTGTGATTGGGTATGATCTTGGATTGAACTTCATTCCACACACTCTCCTGTTCATACACATGGGTATTCAAACACAAACATGACTAGGTCCCAGAATGGCCATAATTTAATTTTGCTGCAAGAGCTGTATCAATCTACCTTACTCCAAAAAAGGGCAAGATGTCTGCAGTCAAAAAAAGAACTTGCAGAAATACTTCTGAAGGTAGACTGACAGCGATAAATACACATTTTGGGGCAACAAACCCCTGGACACTCTCAGCACTGTGCTCAGTAGGCAAATTAATGTAAGATTTTTGGACTCATCTCAGATTCTAAACTCTTCTTGAGACTAAAGAATACTTGGCCTTACCCAGTTACATTCATGAAAATTCCTTTAACAGCAAGGTATGCTTCAAGTCTCCTTTGCTCATTTATTCCAGTCTAAAGCTACTCATGTCTATGGCAAATTTTAAATATTCAAAATAACTGCTCCTATTAATGTAGAATACAGCTATAAAATTTTATATGTATTAACAGAATTGTTACTTGAATGCCCATGGGAATATCTGTCTTCAGAGAGCAGCATATTTTCACTGCTCACTACAATCAGCAATTGTGACATAATTAATGGTAAAGACAAAAGGGCTGCAGAGATCCATGGCTGACTTTGAGACACCAGATTGAGCTCACATTACTGACAATTAGAGAGGGACCAAGGGAACAGAGCAGACACCCTCCCTTAACTTAATTACATTTGGTATGTGTCAAAAAGAATAGGAACAACACAGCTCTGGATTCACTGTTAGGATTTGAAGAGTATTTCAGTTTTCCTCGCCATTCCCCTTTAGCAGAGAGGCTCTTTAAACTATAACCACAGGAAAAATTTCATGTGACGCAGCCATTTGCAGCAAACACTGACAGATGCTCAGCCAAAACATTAATACCTCTTAAACACAAGCCTAGTTTGAACATGGACCTAATTTGGCACCAATAATTTTGAAGTCCCAGATAAGTAAATCAAAATTCAGATCCATTTAAAGTGAAAGCGTTCACATTCATTTTTACAGGGCTTTACCTGACTGCAAAGTCTGAATTTTACTGTTTGGTGCTTTGCAAAATGGAAAAGAAGCTTCAAGTATCAAAACACAGCAAAAATTCCATGCATTCTTAAAAGAAAACTTCTCTTGGCAATGTGATTTTAAGAGGCCATTGTTGCAGTTTGTAAAAGCAGAGTCGAACTAACAAAAATGAGATATCAGCCTCAGTGATCAGTTTCAGAGATCACTGATGAACAGTGTATCTTTAATTGAAATCATTTACTTAGCAGAGGCCACTATGGCCAACAGATACTTCCTCCCTCTCTGTCCCCATAATGTCACTTGTCTTAAGACTGAAATCCTACAGGATTTACCTTTTAAAGCTAAGAGATATTAAAGAACAGTTTGTGACCACTTCCATCAGTTCACAAGAGTTCTGGTTTCTCCTAAACAGAATCCTGTGATCTTCTATCAAGGCCAAGGGAACATTGCAGAATTGAATTGTCAGGTTTATTTCTCTTTTAAAAAATTACTTAGAATGCCCTCCTCCCACTGGAACAATTTCCCTGACAAGTACAGAGGTAGTATCTACCAGCTGAAGGTGAAAAAGGAGTTACTTACCCAGTTACATTAATTTCAGTACCTTCCTTAGATCCATCCTCATCTGTAAAAAGTGGAGGAAGATTGGAGCCAGCTACCAAGTTCTCCATACCTCTGGGGAAAAAAAACAAAGGTAAAAAATGTTAAGTTAACTATGCCATTGTTTACCTTCAGCAGTTCTTCAATTCAAACAGTCTAACACACCAGGAATTTTTTATCTCATGAACCAATTGGTCAGTCCCGCTGATTGGCTTCAGGACAGATCCTGTGGGCAGATGTGCTTGGGGACAGAGAACAAAGACCATAAATGACACTTCAGTCCTGAGTCTCCATTTTAACTGAGCCCTGTGCCAGTGCCACAGTGTTGCTGGAAATCCCTGCAGTTCTATTTTATCCCTCAAGACAAACCCTCATTTACTCAGCACACAGGTAGGTAGATCCTGCTCTTCCAGTCCACCTGCCTGATTATTCCTCATGGTGCACCCTTCACCAGAGGTTTGTGTTGACTCCAGAAGAAAACTGAAACCAAGTCCCCCCAGAAGTTTCAAATTAAGATTGTACAAATAATTTCTTGTCCAGATTTTCACAATTAATCTGTATGTGCAGTTGAGAACACAGCTATTTAGAGTATTTTATCTTCAATCCCATAGAACAGTTGCTGAAACAAATGGTTTAAGGACTGCATATTTCTCATTGAATACAAACTACCCTCAAATTAGAAGTAGTTCCATTTGTAACCTTGTGGCCTGTCATGGGAATTTAATGTGAGAGATGAAATCCAAAGCTTAATTTATCCCCTTTTTTACTAAAATAAAAAACTGTTGTATGTTAGTAAAAAAAAATTAAACAAAACCAAAAAGCCTTAATAAACTCACTCTACAATTATATGTTGCCAGTTCAGGCCACTTTGAAGGGTCATACTACTTAAATTCCTGTTCCTTCAGTTTCAGAATCCCCTTTGATGAGCAGCAGATACTCCACTCAATTACTGCTGTCCCTTTCATCCAGAACACCTGGGCTCTGGGAGTGAGGGACTGAGGAGAGCTATCACCTTGTACTGCTTTCTCCTGGGCTGGTGTGCTTTCTACCCAGTACTGAAATCCAAGTGATCTGAGAATAAAATCCTGCTCCATGCTTTGAATATTAGATGTGTTTTCCTGTATCCCTCCCCAGTTTCAAAGGTAGATATTTTCTACAAACAGAGGTCACTGTTTCTTGCATCTTATGGATTTTGCAGATCTCTATCACAAGTACAACATGGATGACATTCATCCTTTTCTCTTCTGCTTTTGCAACTCTTGAGATCCTTAAGCATCCCATCATCCTGACTTTCTGGAAAATAATTAAAGCTAAGCAGAGCACTCCTAGGTGGTACAGACATGGGTCTCTAGCAGAGGAACACCTTTACTTGTTTACAGAAAAGGTTCATCCAGGAGTGAAGAAACTGAATTCCTCTGCCTCTACAAACCAGGGATTGAGAACAGTTTTCGGGACTCTGCCTTAGAGCTGTGGCACAGCTGAAGAACCAGCAAAGGGCTCTCAGGATGCTCAGGGATCTAAAGCAGCTGGCCTGTAAGGGATGGTGAGGGAAATGGGCTTGCTCAGTCTGGCAGAGGGCCAGTTTAACAGAGCCTAGAGGTACTGGGTGGAAGTGGCAGAGATGACAGAACCAAATTCTCCCCAGCTGTATTGGCTTTGCAGGTTCACGCTGGACACCAGGAAGTGTTCCCAGAGAGGTGGAGTCCATCCTGGCAGACTTGAAATGCTAAAAGCTGTAACTGACCTAAACTAGTGATGGCAATAGTCTTGCTCTGAGTGGGAGGCTGGACTAAGATGACCTCCCTCCAGATGTCCTTTCCAAGCAACATCTGCAGTTCTGAGTCACAACTCCACATTATGGGTTTTTTTCAAATACCAGCATCTCTGACAGGAAAAGAAAGACAACTCAAATAATATAATGCTGGGAGGAAAAGAAGGTGCAAACAATACTTCCTCACACATGAATAAGAATCTACACACATAGAAAAGAAACTACATAAGGGCTGGAACTTTATGTATCACAAGAAATCTGAAAATTCAACTGATTTGAAAATTATGCTCTTCACTGCCCAGGAAGCTGTTTAAGCACAGCTTCTAAACATACAACATAAATTGCTTCATGCAGCTATCATCTAAGAGGGAAATTAAGTTCTGCTTCATGTTGCACACTATTAATCGGTCAAAAATCCTAAATTATGTTTTTCAAAAAACAAAGCCTAAGCAATTATGCCCATTGTGACCTTCTCACCAGGTCCTGATCTGTCTACTCACATCTGGCCCAAGCTCACTTTCAAACTGCAGAGGGGCAGCTGGACACCAACCTTAACAACATATAAACACAACACAAACACAGGAAGCCAGGAGAACATACACTTTTTTAATTTAACCCATATGCTTTAGACAGTAACTCTTTCTGATGATGCTGACCCACATCCTAAAGAAAAAGTAACATCAGTGAATTTACAATGGCTTCTAATCAGTTCCAGAGAGCAAGAAAACAAAACAGCTCCCCTAAAACTCACTGAGAGCAGATGGGAACCTACACAAGTCTTTCAGACCCATTTATCAGGGGCAACCCACCCATACCTCTGTTCCAAAATCACAATTCCCTTAGTTTCAGCCCCACTGCAGAGCTCCAAGTTTATTGAAACACATTTAACGAAATTCAAGGGAACAGAAACAATGTACATTTTGTTTACAAGTGGCTCGCACATATACCTTATTTTCATTTTTTAACTGTGTCTACCCAAATGCAAAAACAAAACTGAAACTGCTGTTAAACCCTAAACCCTACCAGCCCTACAGTTCAATGCAGGGAAGCATCTCCTCCAAATAAAACTAATTTAAACTGGAGCAGCTCTGAGCTGACTGTACTGCTACACTACTGGCTGTGTTGGCTCAAGAAAGCAACCAGCTACACATGAATAGAGACTGATTTATTCATTAACAGCAGTATTTGACAGGATTCCAAAGGTTCAACCAACACATACACTAGCCTTAGATAAACCTCTATATGAGCCTAGAAAAAAATCCTATATTATCAAAAACGTAGCCTAATTTATCTTTTCCTTTCCCTCGCTTTCCTGATCAATTATGACTTCATGACACAGAAACTGGACAATAGTATTTTGTAACTTTCAGTTTAAATTTTTCAGCTGGACGCTTTGCTTGCATGCCACAGAGATCATACTTATATGAAATTGTACAGAGTGTACCAATACGGTCTGAGAAAATTAATCAGGAAATGACAGCAAAACTTTTACAGCATAAAAATCTGAGTGTTACTACACATGTCAAGGATCAAACAGTGGGCAATTAAATCAACCACTCAAAACCAGAATATGGTTTAAATAACCTTTCTTAATTTCTTCTCACATTACCTTTCGTAGGCCATGATATGTAATTATTATTCTAGTAGTAAAGATAAAATAGCGGAATTACATTTTGCATATATTGAAAGCTACCATATGATCAAATTTCTAATCACATCTGTACAGCAGAGAGGAAAATTCAGAAGTAAGTAGCTTTAAAATGAGGGTGAGAACAAATCCACGGCTGGAGCTAGACAGAATTACTCACTTTCCCACATTACTGTGGCTGCACTGTTCACAGCACTCCTACAGGGCAGCACACGCAAGGACATGACAAAGTTCAAGGGCCTTTTACACACGCTATAAATGAAGGGTAAAATTTGCCACAGTCACCTTTTCATCAAAGCATCAGGAACAGCAAAAATGCCGTTTAAAATGTGCAACCATTTTATGTAGCAGGGCATTGTCCTGTGTCAGGGGCAGCTGCCACGCTGTCCCTCCCCGGGCACTGGGGCTCACCCCGCCGAAGTCTCCCCCGGAGCCAAGCACAGAATCCGCACCTGCAGGATGTTCCAATGTTCCCTGCCCCACAAAGCCCCACACCCCTGTGCCCGGGCAGTCCCACCGGACGGGCAGGGCCGGGCCTGCAGTGCCCGCACGGCTCTGCTCACCGACCTCCTGCTCATCCCAGGGCCAGGGAGCCTGAGATGCCCCTCGACACTGGCAAAAGGGGGAACAGCCCTTAACAGTGTTGCCTTTTCAATGGCTACATTACAACTGGTAATCTTATGAACAATAAAAAAAATTACTAAACTCTTTAGCCATCCGATTACAAGGTCAAGTTATTTATTACGGTTTAGCATATTCAAATATGAAGTCAGCATCAGAAATCCAACTTACAGGCTGATTATAAAACACTGCAGGAGTTCCAATTACCTCATCACCAGCTCCAGTTTTAGAAACGTTACTGCTGAGTGGAGAATTTTTCTCCTCAAGTCTCTCATCCCCCTTTGCCAGAACAAATATGTCCAAATTTTACCATTCAGAGGCGAACAGATTACAAAAAAAAAATCAGCTGCTACATGACAGAAGAGTCACAGTAATCCTTATCTCAGCATCAGAGATAAGCACTTAGCTTATCCAAGCACTTCAGAATACAAACAATAATCTAAATTCAGATGATTCACTGAGAGAAAAAACCCACAGGACCATCACTTCCTCTGCCTTTCCACAAGTAACCAGAACATCAGAAACAAACCTGAACTAAGTCCATCTCCTATTAAAACCACAATGCTTTTGGAGCTGTCAGAGAAAGTTCAGATTCCTCTGGCAGAACCTTTTCTTTCACCAAGCTGTAGCAGAAGCACTTTATCCAAAATACTTCACTGCAAAAAAAATCAGATTTTACTTTTGCCCTACAGGCAACTCATTGGATAAAGGGTTTTGTGACTAGGAAAACTGCAAGTTCAATCTAATGGGATGAAGGTTTTTCTGTCAAAAAAAAAAAAAAAAAAATTGTCAGAAAATACATACCAGAGAATAGGCAATTGCTTTTATTTTTACTTCATGCCAGTAAAAACAAAGAAACACTATAGATCAAAATAGAGACTTGTAGGAAAAAATTCCAGAGTTCCACTGCATTTCCAAGCAGCTTAAGGAAAGAAGGGAAAGATGTAAAGCTTAGGTTTACGTTTAGTTTAATTGGGTCTTTGCAGCAAACACTAACAAAGCTATTCCTACTCTGACCTTAGAAACAGCTGTCAAACATGTATTTTAAAAACACAAGTGTTCCATTTTGCAACCTACTCTTATTTATATAAGAGGCTTAGGGTGAGGCACATACAAGATATCTTTCATATATATAGATATGTGTGTGTGTGTAAAACCTTGCTGTTCTCTGGAACAAAAGCCACAGGAAGGGTATATACTCAATTCTCCAGACAAAGACAAGAACAGCCCCACATTGATTCTCTTCCTTCAAATACATGAGTGGAATTTTGCATTACCAATAAACCAGCTTCTAAATCACTTCAAGGAAAACAAAAGGCCACAATGAGAAAAATAACTGTGCAATAGATCCCTGGATAGCTAAAACCAGTAACTGTGGTTACCTCTGGGAAGGCTTTGCTATCTAGCCCTTCACTGGAGTATTACACACCTATGGATTAGGACAGTTCATTTTATTCTGAATTAACTTTGTTCACAATAGCATCAATTGCCATTTAATCTAATACCATTAACAGATACAATTCTGCAAAATTAATTTAATTCTCATGTTACAGATCTCGCATGAGAAAACAGAAACCGTTCAGATCACAAAAAATAAGTCTCAGAATAAATCTTGAGAATTCGTTATTTTTCATTAATCACTCTACCTAAAGTAAGCCAACAGATGACTACCAGGGAGTGGGTTTTGTAAGCTGCCCATAAAAATGTCTTCTGAATTTCCAGAAGAAATACAAGCAATTTAGTCTACTTCTTCACCTGCTCTGCCACTTGAAAATTCCTCTGGGAGCTGAGGACCTCGTATTTCACAGGACAAAGTTTTCCAACAGCTCCTTTCCCACTAAGGAGGCACAGGGGTACCCCATAACACCCCACAGGCAGCAGCCCCAGGGCGTCACAAACCTCCCGAAGGGCAGCAGCCATAAATCAGCCAGCCCTCCCCAGAGCTGCACCTTCCCCAGCAGGGAGCAGAGGCTACTGCCCTTCACAGCTGCAGCTCCCCTCCTCTGATCATTTATGTCTGTACCACTCAATCACTCTCTGTTCGTGCAAT